CTATCTATCTATCTATCTATCTATCTATCTATCTATCTATCTATCTATCTATCTACACCACACACACAAATACACACACACGCACACACACACACACACACACTCACACACACACACAAACACACACACACACACACATACACACACACACGCACGCACATGCACACATAACACACATATCGACACTTACTTACATTAAACTTTACACACACGCCACACTTTTTATCTTTCTCTTCGTTTTATTTCTTCCAAATGTCTAATATAAGCAATTAATATTTACTCCTCAAACAGTATTTCGACTACTAAGTGCTACCTCAAAATTACAAAGTTCTGTCTGCTAAATATCTCGTTTTGAGAAATTCGACGTTAAAAAATGGTGAGTTTCATAGTTATTTTTATTTTTCATGCTTTTTCGAATGTAATTTTTTGAATATCCTGATAAGCGCTTTGAATAATCTTAAGATTTTTGTAGAATAGATAGAACATTTGGTTCATGGTCTTAGAATCTCAAAACGGTCAAAAATGTCAGATAGAACTTTGTTATTCTAAGGCAGCGAAAGGACAAGACATCTTTTTACATAAACGATACCTTTCACAAGACTGTTTATCTTTCTCTTAATCTTTATATTTCTTCCAAATTTTAATATCTCGTAGAAGTAATTAATGTTTCCTCTTCGAACAGTACTTCCATAAAGGACAAGGCATCTTTGTCAACGCAGAATACACCCCAATGACTGTCTGCGCCAGAAACGTTCAACACCAACCAGCTCAACCAGCTCAACCAGCTCAACCAGCTCAACCGACTCAACCGCCCCAACCACCGGCTAATGCCCACGTCACAGCACCCCCGCTTACTCCAAGCGCACCACCTGCTGACAAATTGGAGATGGACAAACTGTCAGCATCAGCGCAGTCTATGACTGTTCAAGAGCCAGGTGAAAAAAGAGGGGTGGTCTAAATTAACGTTTCATTTCAAAACCAAAGTTAGGATGATGATGATGATGATGATGATGATGATGATGATGATGATGATGATGATGATGATGATGATGATGATGATGATGATGATGATGTATTTAACAAAAGGTCTTCTTCACCGAGCACCACATTGGAACTGGGCAGTAGGCAGAAATTTAATACGCGGAAGATAACATGCCCTTAACAGTCTGTTGTGCTGTATGTCCCCTGAGGCGTGAGGATTGGGGGGTGGGGGTGGAGGGGGTGGGGGTGCTGGGGTAATTGGAATGAACTAGATCTAGTCGATCTAAAGTAGAGGTGTCACACGCTATTGCTCATCAGGGGAACAAACTCAAACTACACTTAAGGTTGCGGATCGAAATGGATAAACACTCGTTGAACACTGGACAACTAAACATTTTTCTAAACAATGATATGAATTAAAAAGACGAACAATGCATTCCAATGTTCGCTGTTATGCAAATTTGGCGGAGTTGGATTTTTTGTCATCTGCTTTTCTTTGCAACAAGTTCGTATAATATATTTGGAGTAAGGTGCTGTATTATGAAGATTTTCAGGATGAGTTACCTAAAAATCTCTCGAAGGCCGAATATCATTGTTCGCCGGGCTGGATGCAGCCTGTGGGCCTTGAGTTTGATACCTACGTTCTAAAAATAAAATCTCCAGACCCACTGTCACCGTCAACATACCATATCGTGAAGTCAGGGTTATCCTCAAAGGCGAAGGACGAACAACAATAAGAAAATCACTTTCATCTATTCTTCTCCCCATCCCATCTAACAAGGTGCGAATGTACCACCTTTTGGAACACCCGATGACCGCCCTCCGTCCTATGAAGAATGTACCAGAACTGCGACTGTGATACCCCAGGGACCCGCCGGGCCGGGCAAGGGGGCTGTGTTACTGCTGTTGTGCAGACAAGAGTCACTGCAGAATGTTCGCGAAGCGGTCAAGAGAAACATGGGCAACCTCAGAGCGAATGGTGGCGTAATTTTGGCCTTCAATCACACTGTAAGTCTACAAAAGCTAACTGTAGGCCTAGTCATATTGTCTGCTGTTGATGAAAAATCAATGTTTGTTGGTTTTGTTTGCTGTTGTAAATAAATTATTTTCCCTTTTTAAATTACTATTAAATTAACTTAAATTAAATCAATTTTTTTAAAAATTATTAAAATTT